CAGTACGAGTGGTGATGTTTTTAATCAAACGTAAATAATGTCGGGTATTCCTACTTGGAAAAAAGAAAGTTTTCTCGTTACACAATGAAGCGTACCAAAAGGAAATTGTAAGTACCGGTATAAAGGAACTGCATCACAAATGTAACATCAGATTACATGTGCATTGACATTATATATAGATCTGAATAGCAGAGGAGATGGTTTTACTTGTTTTCAGAAAAGAGAAACCTTGCTGTGGTAGGAAATCAGGAAATGATAAAGGGAAAGAACTGAGCTTTGTAGGAAGTAGGAGCGTTAGATCGGTATGTGGACAAACAATTATCACTTTCTTTACATGGCGGTCAGTCCCTGATTCTTTGCGTGCAACTTTCTCAATGTTCTCTGAGTGCCGCACCATACACTAAGTTGTTTGTCATTATTTGTGATATTATTGTACATGACTGAGGTTGTTGAGGGTATCGGGGTGGAGGCTCAAAGTTTTTTTTTTTAATTCTCAATGTTATCACCCTTTGAATTACATTTAAAATTTAATCAATTTTGACCATTCAAAAGGATCGTGTGTTGTACATTGTCAATAACAAAAGTGTTTTTTTAGGTGTAGACAGTATACAATGGAGATGCCGGCAGACATCATCATATATTTTCACTCTGTGAAAACTTTTATCTACCAAGAGCAAGGACTCGTTTCAAACTCTTAGTTGTTGCCAAAATATGTCACCATGAAATGCAGACCACCATATATATATATATATATATATCTCAGAGTCATCTGAATAAAGATGGTGTTATCAGCATCTCATCGCCGCCGATCCAACAAGCCAGTCAGAGCAAACATCACCTCACAGCCATGTGACCCACGTCTTCTACACAGGTCCAAAGTTCAAATGCCAAATTGACAACTCAAGTAAAGAGATCAAATTGCATTAATCTCTTATCTCAAAGCTCAGAGTGTCATTCGGTCATAAAACAAGGCATCACAAACTTTTATCAATTTAATATTCTGTTTTACTGAAAATGAAATGCAGACTGAAGGACTAATCAAAAATATCTTCTGATGAATGTTAACATAAAAGGGTATCTTTAGGTTAAACATACAAGCACGCTGCATTAGAATACATGGACTGTGATACTTTAAATGACACAACTTTTCTGTAGTTGCTCATGATCTGTAAAATGATGCTTTTTGCAATTTCCTCCTTTATGTTATTTTCAAACAGAAATTCTCATCCTTATCTTCTCTGACTTATATATCCAAGTTAAATTTAAGTTTATCATTTTGAAATGCTGAAACATGTCAATATTGCATTACATTCTCCTGGAGATAGGTAGGGCTTGACCCTAAAAGGCGCCAGGGACAAACGGGTGCCCAAATCTAGGTCCAGACCGCCTCCCCAAAAAGTTAACGTGGGACCTGACATAGGATGGTATACGATAGCAGAAAAAGCATCACGGCGTTGTACATACATGTATGTAAGTCCTATTGGGCATGTATCATGCAAGTGGGAAAATGAGCATCTGGCGGTGAATTATGAATAGATAGGTGCAATTGTCTCGCTTTAATCAACCCTGCATCTTTGCCTACATGTACGTCAGATCCAGCATCTGTCCTCTCACAATACCCAGCACTCCATCTCAAATGTCACAAGATATATTTGAGGATGCAGCAAATTTTTTTAATAACAGGCTCTTCGTCAAAAGCAAGTCATCCCAATCGACTGCAACATCATCATCATCATCATCACTGGTAGCCGTTACCATAGAGATGATGCGGGAGAGGAGGTGAGGAGAATCTATATTGCTTGAAGGACTGCGGGATCCTCCAGAGCGTGTCAAGGAGAAAGACTTCATCAAAGCAGCAGAGCGTTGCTAGCAACCGTCTCGCAGGGTGCTGACGACGCAAGATGAGAGATAGAGAGAGAGAGAGAGAGAGAGAGAGAGAGGGGGGGATACCAGACCGAGAAGAGATATTGGAAGACAGACTGAATTGTCATTAAGGGAGAGAGAGAGAGGAGTCATCATCCTCATGGCAACCTAGCAGAAAGGATGAGAATCTTCACATATGGTGCCGTCTATTCAACAGCATTGCTCATCATCACCTGCCTCTCCATCTACAATTATCCAGAATCTCTTTTTCCTTCTCTCCTGGTGTTTTATTCCCTCACTTGACTATCTTCACTCAGTTTATAATTCCTGGCAGTTAATGTGATCTTCTTCATCAATGTTTTACCTCTTCTCTCTACAATTGCAGCTCTCTTTTCCTCCCATATTTCCACTCCCCTCTTCCTCTCCCTCTTCTCCATCTCCATTTTTTTCCACCTGCCTCCCCACTCCCTCTCTCTGTCTCTCTCTGTCTCTCTGTCTCTCTCACTCTCTCTTTCTCTTTCTAAGCTCTCTCTAAGCTCTCACTCAAGCACTGTTACATTCTAACATCTCCCAATGTAGGACTGATTCTGCAAATAAGTACTATTTCAAAATGTTCACATCAATATTTCTTGTAAACACCCATCTTAATTTTAGGGTTTTTACAATCCTTTTCTTGCACTTCCCTTCAAATCCATCCATCTATCCACTTCCTGGTAAGACCATGCTCATTGCCACTCTCTCAGTTTCATTTCACATACTGTACAGACAGACAGGGCAACCCAACCAACGAGCCTCTTGAAATGAATCTTGCCCTTTAACTTGAATTCCCTGCTCAGTCGGTGGAAACATTGCCTGTATTGGAAAGCCAGATGGTGAGACGCTTTTACACTCCTGTATCAAGTCCTCATATCAGCCCATAACCATCTGATCGGAAAGTTACAGAATACTCCAGCATGGATGAAAATATCACCATGGATTCTCGAACATGCAACAACATGTTGGATATTACATTCTTTATTCCAGTTTAATCTAAATTATGGAGACACAAATCACATTAATCAAGTGCCCTTTGTATCCATCACAAGGCAAGCCCATGTATAGTATGTACAGTTGGGTCATTTTGTAACCTTAGCTTAATACTATGTGATGATAAGCATGGGAGATGGTATGCTTTTGGAGAGAGAGAATCAGGATCCTGTTTCATCAAACTTAATTGTTATCAACCACAAATGTTAAAATTCTATGACAAATTTGCTCTCAGCCAATCAAATGCCACGATTTCAGTAACTTGTAACAGATATTGTAACTTGTTATTGAAAACAAGTTTTATGAAACAGGGCCAAGATCTAGCTCACTGGGATGAGATGCAAGATTGCTCTTGAGAGGGTAGGTACATGAAACAACAGAAGAGAAAAAGGGAGAGAGAGAGAGAGAGGAGAGACTACCAGCACAAACTCCCAATTAAACAAATATCGCTGGTTGTATGCATTGTGGAGGTAGTCAATGCTATTGTGCGATATATCTACAGTGAGTAGCAATTATAGGCCTGTTTCAACAATCCCATTCCAACCTTTGGACTCTCTGTGAGAGAGAGAGGCAGCAGAGAGGAGAAAAAGATAAGGCGAGGGATAGAAAGAGAAAGAGATTGTGATATAGAAACAGAGATACAGAGAGAGAAAGATAGAGAGAGATGGACGGATATTGGGAAGAGAACTGAAATAGGTAGTGACTTGGAAATTGTAAGGGAAGAGAACAGCCTTATAATCCATGCTCTATACATGTAGGTCTACATTGATTGAAAAAGAGAAGTAGAAAAAAGTGAAGAAAAATAAGCAGGAGTGGCGAAAATATGAACATAAATTTAGGGAAAGTGAATGAAGTTGACAAGAAAAAACACTTTAAGCCTAGATATCAATTATAATGAAAAAGAAACAAGGGTAAAAGTTTAAGTAAATTTCTTACAGACCTTACCACCCCCCCCCCCATCTTCTTTCTCTCTCTCTCTCTCTCTCTCTCTCTCTCTCTCTCTCTCTCTTTCCCTTTCTGCTTCTCTCTCCCCTCTCCTCCTCTCCCCTCTCTCCCTCTCTCCTCTCTCTCTCTCTCCCTTCCATTCTCAAATCCTATATATCTAATGTTTGGGGTGTCTTTCTAAAACTTCACATTCTCTAGCAATTTATTAATCCTAAGCAAATATGCTTAAACCTAACCAGGCATACAGCACATCCATACACGTATACAGCAGCTTGAATATATATACAGCTAATCTGAATACATGTACATTACATGGTATCACATACCAATCCAGTCAGAAGCCGTATTTAGGATGATAAATACCCTAGTAACCAAAACCAAAGTTCATTAGTACATCAGACTTCAAGGAAAAAGATTGGCATACACTCCCGACAATGCAAGGCAAGATAGCATCATAAAGTCCCTTGGACTCGGCTCGGCTTGAGTTATCTATTTGAGTACAAAGTACCTCTCTTTCCATGTCATCATGGAGGTTATTATTGAGCTAGGGAGGACTGTAAAACAGTGAGGTACTAAACTAAAAAACCAAATCAGTACATTTCCATGCATGCCTAGCGGAGCACCTCCTCCCTCTGTAAACAAGACCTCTCTCTAACAATGAATGACATTCTCCCCGCAAATCAGAGCAAAATGAAGCCACAACAATACACTGGATTTCAATTATCATTATCATAGTCTATGACGCAGTCAAATCATCTTGTTCTTGTGGAATCAATGCACACATGATGTATCTATTTGGCATAGGTCACTTTCTGCTATTTTCATGTTGTGGGACGATTGGCTAAAACTGGTTCAAAATACATAATCAGTGATGATTCCTACATGTATATCATTTTTTCTATGTGTGATTCCTAATTGATTCTTAATGTGATTTGTAATCGTTTCTATACTTCCATTTTCCTTTAAAAGGATTGGTATCATCACAGCTGACATGTTGTATCATTATCATAACAGTTCAGAGTAATTAACTTCAAATGTTCAGTTGGTGTGGACTGACTGATTGATTGATTGATGTATCTGTAATGTTGATGGACAACAGTACATGGAAATTGCACCTGATGGCATTGAGAAGAAAAAAAAAGAACACCTGTTGATATGATTCTTACCTTTGATGGAGTGCTGTCATTGGATAGAGAGCTGGTAGGCGACGTCGCTCTTGCCTTCAGTGACCCTCCATCCACCCCATTCTGAGTCTCCCCCTCCTGGTTCAGACATCTGTCACTCCACGTTGCTGACTCACCCCTCCCCGTTTCCTCAAAACCCCTCATGCTGCCACTGCCAAAGCTACTAGCATTCGACAGCTCATCCTCCATCAGTACCGCCGTAGCTAGGGCCACCCCCGATACGACGGCTGCCGCTGCTGCCTTGGCACTCAGAAAGTCTACCTGGTCGCCGGGGATAGCGTCGTTCTCCTGTAAGACTGACATTGATGAGCTTGATGTCTCTGCCTCATCATCAAGCTTTGTGTCACCATCCTCCCCCTCCTCGGTTGGATTCTGCCCCCTCTCCATTGCCCCAACACCTGTCATGGGTTGCTGTGATGAAGCCACTTGATCCACGCCGGCTGTCGTGCCCCCTCCTCCTAAGGCTGACTCACCACCAGCAAGCTCTGCTTCTGATACAGGGCAGCCAGCATTGCCAACAGAGCTATCCTGCAAGTCATCAACGGTGGTGGCAGCATCATCATCATCATCAGCGTTGCGGGACGACGCATGCTCAGGCGTTGCTGTGTCACACGGCTTTACACCATCCACAATCTTACCATTAACATCTTGTTCTATTCCATCTTGTTCTTTTCCTTCTTGTTCTTTTTCTTGTTCTTTTCCTTCTTGTTCTTTTTCTTGTTCTTTTCCTTCTTGTTCTTTCTCCTCCTGTTCTTTCTCCTCCTGTTCTTTTTCTTCCTGTTCTTTTTTCACCACAACATCAGCATTAGTTTTTTTTGAAGATTTCCTAGTCACTTGCGGCTCATGAACATCTCCATTTTGCAGATCTGACTTTGTTGTCGCTGTTGATCGCTTCTGAACTTGAGTTTTCTTATCCTTGGCTAATGAGTTCCGCCTCTTTGCCGTGGGTCTCTCTCTGCTATGGCCGTTCACTGATCTCGCTGGGGGCTGCTTTCTGTCCACGGATTGACGACCCTTAACAGACGACCTCCTCGTCACTTCTGATGCTGGCTCTGACTTGGCTTTCTTCCCTCTTCCTGTCCCCTCTCCTTCAAGGTCTGTAAAGAGAGGCGATACACAAACAGGGATATTCAGATTAATTACCTCAATGATACTCTATCTCACTGTATCAAATGCCTAATTCCAACTCAAGAAGAGAGAGAAATAGGGTCTTCCTCCGCAAGTTGCCTATTAATTGGGAAACTATTTCATACAGGAAAGGGAATGGATCTTCAGATTAATTCCTTCAATGAGAAATGACTTCAGAATATCGAATGTCTTAGTTCATTACACACAAATGAATAAAAGCTTAAACCAGCATAATATGCGCATGCATGTCAAAACTTAAAGTAGCCTGTTCAACAATTTCTTATCTCATAATTGTTATAGCTGGCATATTTTTGTGTGTATTTTGTTTACATTAAAATAAAAATCATTATATTGAAATATATTGATGATCTTTAACTTTGCACAAACACTCTGTTCCCTATTACATCTCAATTTCCAGCCTTTTACTCACTGATTGTATACATCATAGCCTACAAGTTGGGAGGTTGAATACAAAATATGTGAAGAGAAGTGAATACCGGTACATACAGTAATGTCCAGGTTAGTAACATATGATGGATTAAGTTAAAAGTAACACATCATTTTAAGGACATATATCATTGACATCATTCTTTCATCCCCTCATTGATCTCTTTCCCTCTCTCCTTTTCTTTCTATTTCTCTCTATCGCCCTCCCTTCTATCGTTTTTTCCGCCCCTCCGTCTCCTCTCTCTCTCTCACTATCTGTTATTCCCTGTCTTCCATCCCTCTCCTTCCCCTTTTTCTATCCCTCTCTCTTTCTCTTTCTCCCCCTCTCTCTCTCTCTCTCTCTTTCTCTCTCTCTCTCTTTCTCCCTTTCTCTCTAAACAGCTCTATTTCTTGCAGCTTAGGCATCATCAATCAATCAATGCAACACTGCAAATATTTCACTTCCTTGTCTTCTCACTACACTGCGCAGCACGCACACACACCCTCCCTCACACACACACACACCACGTTGTTGAACTGATCAAACACAATACCCAGAAACCAATCAACTGTATCCCTGCCACACCACTCAAGGCAAACCAGTGCACAGAGAGAATGAGAGACAGACAGACAGAGAGAGAAAGAGAGAGAGAGAGAATGAGAGAGAGAGAGGGAAAAATCATTATGGGTGGATGTGTTTTCAGATATTCAGTATCGCTCTGTATGATTTATGGTATTCACAGGAAGATGCATTTGAAAACAACTCAGTACAAGTAGTAAAGTGAACGTTGAGTTGTTGGAATGCACATTTACATCTGGCCATATTCTTTCATTGACTGCATTTGTTGACATCTGTACAACAGAGTTACTGAATTAATCCCACAAAGCTTTAATCATTAGGTCTATTGGTTGTTTCATGTTAAACAGAAGATAAATTGCAAATTTTGAGAAAGTTGATTAAAAGATCAGACTAGCAATGAACATACCATTTGGTTTGCTCATCTTCTTCAGCCCACAAAATATTTTTGAATATACAACTTTAATATCCATCCTCCCTTCCCCTCCCCTCCAATTTCTCTCCTTTTCCTCTCCTACCCCCCCCCCCCCCCACTCTTGCATGTTTTAATAATCAGTAACAGAAAATTACTCACAAAAACAAAATTTACTGATGTTGAGGCTTTTAATCTTCTCATCATAACAAGTTTGCATCATCATGGTAATGGAAGATGGAAGATAAGAGGATGACTTTAGATATACTTGTTACCATGGTGACAGCAGGTTCTCATACTGAAAGCAGTACGATAACATTCTAAAAGTCTGGCGATTGGGAATGTGATATTAAAGATGACAGTTTATGATATCAAAGCTGTCAATGTTATAGGTTAAAAGAAAATGCATCCCAAATATCACTCAGAAATATAAATTCACAGATATATGATCTATTTTTTAGATGACTTAAGTGCAGGATGAAGTCCATAAAGCTCCTGTGACTGATTATTTAGAGGAGAGGAGAGGATGATGGAGGATGGGAAGATGTTACCATGACAATACCATGTTTCATCACCTCTTTGGGTGCGTTCCAGGCTGGAGTATTAAACAACGATGGTATTTCCTTGGTTACTCTGCGGATGATAGCAGATCATTTTACAAAAGAGGAGGGTCATGTTACCATGGCAATAGGAAAACAAGTAGATGACTCCATCATACATGCATGATGCCTGCTGTGGCACACTGAGAACTGAGAACTTTGAAAGTACATGTGGTTGTGTAGCAAGGTGTCTCAAGGAATATATCAATGTTACAAAATATAACAGCTTATATTTGATTAAAGCTTCTTGTAACATTCCTGTGGATTCATATCAAATTGTTGACAATATTGTAGTTTCAACTTTCAAAGATTATTGAAATGTGTCTATTTATTAAATGCATAGAGATGACTTCAAGCAGAATCATTCAAATCACATTCTTTCCCAATTAATAAAGCAACTGTCATATGAAATAAAATCAATTTATCCCAAACTAGACCTATCAGTATCATCAAATAGACAAACAAATATGCAAATGAAGCATGAATCTAACAGAAGGAAATGAATTTTGGAAGGAATCCTATCATTCAGCATCACCTCCACCCACCTATTGGAAACTACCATCACAGTGATCATGGACGTGCTTGGTGAGATGTTTTCATAAGAGAAAACATAGCCAGGGTTAGAACAAAAGCACGTATGAAATTTGACACAATTGTTCAATAGGCAAGGCAAACACAATGGACCGGCTACATCAACACATGTTACGAGTCATGGACCTACAAGTGGAGGGTTTGCGTCATAACTGGAGCTAGAGCAAAGGACTGTTGAAGGCATTAAACTCTCAAAACGTCTTTCAGGGGTCTTTGTTCTTGTTTTCTTGGCCCGGTCCATCTCCTCACATCCATCCTATCCCACTTCCTGTTCTGAAAATTACAAAGTACCAGCCTCCTTCTAGCCAGCCAGCCAGCCAAGCTGCCTCCCTCGCTGACTGGCTGGCCTGGCCTGGCTGGCTCAGTCACGACCCTCTCATGACCATGGATCGATGCAGAGTTTAAGAGGGGAGGAAGAGCAAACAATACCCTAAATCAACAAGTGATACAAAGACTGTGGGATAGAAATTCCAATGCATGTATCGGTGGTAATGGAGCCACGATCAATGCTCCGATTAGATAGCATGATGATTTCTGGTTACAGGCAACATAAAAATCAGCTCTTAACTGCATCATGTATCATTCTAAATCGTCTTGAAGTTTTCTAATTAACCATTATCCTTCAAAATGTTAAAACCCCACAAACAACTCTGGTATACCTTTCTCATGTCCTCCTCCACGAAATAATGCAATTTTTAATATCTTTTTCTCATTCCCACAACCCCTATTCCCCCCATCTAAAACTTTTTCGTTGACTCTTTCCTCCTCTTTTGTTCACTCCTAATCCTCCCCCCATTCTCTCTCTCTTGAGCCTTATTCTTCTCTAATTCACCATCTCTTTTATTTCTGACCATTTGTCATTCCTCCCTCTCTCTTCTCTCTCTCTCTCTCTCTCTCTCTCTGTCCCTTCATCAATTTATATTTCTGGCAACTAATTCATCCATTTATCACTGTCTATTAACTCTTTCTGGTCCTTTACTCTTCAAGTCTTTGTCCTCCCATCCTTTTTTCATAGCTTGTAAGACAACCTCTTTATTATCTTCCACTTCCTATCAAGACCAATTTCTGCTCCTCTACTCTTCAATTTAATTTCTTACTACTGCTTCATCTATTCCTATCTCTCTCACTCTCTCTCTTGCACTACAGCCTCTTCCCCTACATTATTCATCCTATTGTCTATTTTCGTTCATTTCACACAATTGTTTCATCTACCTTTATTTCACTTTCTGTCACTCTATCAACCAAACTCTCTGTGATCCTCGATCCTCTTCTCTTCCAAGTCTGACATTACTTCTTCATCTCTCTCTCTCTCTCTATTTCTCTTTCAAGTCTGACATTACTTCTTCATCTGATCATCTCTTTCACTCTCTATCAAGCCAACTATACATGTTCCTCTCCTCTTTATCATCTTTTCTTATTATCTCTTACAAATGCATCATCTCTCTTTCTCTCTCATTCTCTCTCCAGCCAACAGTCTGCTCTCCTCCTTGTCATCCGTGGAGCGTAATCTCTGGTCCCCGGCTGCCCGCATCCTGTCCCCCTATCCCAGCATCCTTTACTCATTATCTAGGGAGGAAGTGAGGTGAGTCTGACTCAGGATGATATGTCCCACCAGCAAGCACTGGGACACCAATAATCTTATCAATTTCTTTTTCTCTGTCTCTTCCTTCTCCATCAAGCAGTGCCAATCATCATCATCATCTTGATTCCTTGTTCATCATCCTGCCTTCTTAATGCTCTGAACTCAGTTTCTTGAAGTCAAGTTTTAAAACAATTTGCAAGCTTTGAAGTCTACATAATCTCTTCTACAAAGAATTTTCTCAATTCATGAAGTTTACATAGCTTGGAATGCTTTTCTCAAGATAATTATTTGTTTCATCTAAATTCAATATACCCTCATCTTTCTTTCTTTCTCTTGCTCTTTCTTTCTCTTTCACTCTCTCTCTAATTGAAAGAAAAGGGAAACTACCAACTTCATGAAGTCATCTGTTTAGTTCTGCTTGAACTCCCCAATTCTTTTATACCTTATAAGTAAAACATGTAGGCCAATGTGTTACTGGAAAAATCTCTTCTCAGCCCTAACGAAACAGAAAATATTCCAAACTGGTATACAACTTTCATCTCCTGTTTATTAAAGGCCCGTGCAACATTATTGCCTTTATGAACCAGTAGTAGAGGATTGAACGTATCTCAAGCTTACATTGGGACTAACTGGACCTACAGTCCTATCATCCTAAAGTCTTGTAGAGGTTGATCCGAGACCATGTCAGGTCAAGCTTTCATTAGGACTATTAAACAGGGCCTATAGTCCCATCATCCTACAGCCTAACAGAGGTTGATCAGAGACCAGGTCGGGTCAAGCCG